CAATAATCGTTGATTAAATTGACTTTGTTCTTCTAAATAATTTTTTTTTTCTGTTTCCTGCTTTGTTTTTCGAAATTGCTTTCAAAAATTTGTCTCTCTTTATCAGTTCATACATACAAATCAAGGGGGTTAGGGCAGGGCGTGTGTGCCTGAGAATATTTTTGCTTCCATTTGTGGGTATTTCATTCACGCTAATAGCCTTAATTTTCAGTTATTCCATAATATTCATAAATACTTTGTAAGTGTGGGTGTAGTAGCTGTTTGTGTATGTGTGTGTGTGTGTACGTGCTAGGAGGCGTTCGTTTTCCTTTTTGAGTGGGAATGAGCGCAAAGTCGCCGCCATCACCGCTTTAATAACACTTCATATATTTTTTGGTTTATTTTTTGCTTTATTCTTCTTTTATTTGCTCCTCTTGTTGTTATTTTCGTTCGTCGATTTTGTTATTATTACGATTATTTGATGTTGGAGTGTATTTTTGGCTCTCTCTCTTCGTTGCTATGAATTTCTGAGAATTGTCATTTGTACAAGACACACACACTCACACTCACACAAACACACAAACAATGTGCTGGGGGTATTATAATAACAATTCATATAAATTGGCGTATAAGTTGCTTGTAAGCATTTAAGCAGCAGATTTTCTTTCAACAAACAACAACAGCAGCAACCTTCAAAAAAAAAAAAAAATTGTAATAATAACAAAATCATTTCACTTTTCGGTAAAGTCATCTTACGACACCAATTTCGATGGTGGTCTGCCTGCCTGCCTGGCTGGTTGGCTTGCTGTCTAACGTCAACTTATGTATAAATGCTGCCCTTCACGGTTGCTCTGGCCTTGTCTGTCCTGCTGTCTTTTTACTCTCTTTTTAATATCACATATCATGATTATTATGATTTTATGTCGTCTTATTGGTGTGACATAATATGCTTGTGGCGTGGAGGCTGGCACTTAACTCGCAGCAGTGTAAGTTAGTTGTTTGGATATATATGTTTTGTATTTATTTAATATCATATAATACCAAGTGGCGGCAAGTTCAATAGACCCTTAATTGGCAAGTGTCTCGGATCAAATTTCTTCACTTCTTTTTTGGTACTTGTAATTGAGAATGTTTTTCGTTAAGAGCTTAATTAATTTTGATTACCTTTTATAAATAAATAAATGAAAATAAACAAAGATTTGAATATTCATTGCAATAGTGTTACCTACATAAACATATTACGCGACAAGTTTTGATATTTCTTTAATTATTTTTTTATTTGCTATGATTCTGTTGCAAATTATTTTGTTTTCTTCTATACTTTTTAACTTTTATTTACGTTTAGCTTATTTTATTTATTTAATTTTAATTAAAATTTTTATTTTATTATTATTATTATATTTGTTTAATATTATAAAATTTTAACTGATTTTATAATATATAATTTTATTTTATTTAATTCCATTTTTTACACAAACGCAACGCCACAAATTAGAAGAGAAGTTCGGCCGAAAATCTCTTCAGCGGTTACAAAGCGCCATTTTTAATATAATTAATATCGTTTTTTCTTCAAACCTGTTTAATTTTGTTATATTTCTTGCATGAATTGTATCATTTTATTCTGGTTTCTTATTATATTTTATAAAAATAAAATAAAACAGTATAAAATCAAATCAAAGAAAATAAAATAATATAAAAGAAAAAAACATCATAATAAATCAAAAAAATTAATTAAAATAAAATATATTGGCTTGTTATTTTATTTTAATTAATTTTTTTTCTTTTTAGTTTTTCTTTAATTTTATTTTATTAGATTTTATTCTTCTACATTTTTTTTAATTCACCTTTATTTTATTTGATTTTATTTTATTTTGTTTAACTAATTTACTTTTACTTTATTTTATTTTGTATTATTTTGGTTGTTTGCTTTTAGAATAATTTATTTATTGTTCATATATTATTTGCTTTTATTTCACTTTATTTATTCTCCTTTTTTTGTTGTACTTTTTTCACTTTACCTTATTTCATATTATTTTATTTGATTTTGTTTTATTTAATTTAATTTGTTTTACTTTGCCTCAATTTATTTTAATTTAATTAATGATATTTTATTTTATTTTGTTTTTTTGCTTTTACAATTATTTATTTATTGTTCATATATTATTACCTCTTTTATTTGGCTTCATTTTATTTTATTTTATTTTATTTTATTTTATTTTATTTTATTTTATTTTATTTTATTTTATTTTATTTTATTTTATTTTATTTTATTTTATTTTATTTTATTTTATTTTATTTTATTTTATTTTATTTTATTTTATTTCATTTCATATTTTATTATATGATTTTAACTTTCTTTTAGTTTGTATTATTTCGCTTTGCTTTAATTTATTTTGGTTTGTTTTATTTTATTTCAATTTATTTATTTTTTTACTTCTTAATTAATTTTTTTTGGGTTTTATATCATATTTTTAATTGGATTATTTGCTTTATAAATGTAATGTCGTTTTTTTATTGTATTTTAAGAAGAACAAGTTTCACAGGTGAGTTTCTTCCCACATTGTTGCTAGAAGTAGTTTCAGCTGCTGTCTCACTTATGTTTTTCATATATTTATCAGTGCCATAATTTTCCTCTTGCTTACTCAAATAAAAATGGCCCCTGGGGTACAAATAATCCAATATGGTATGATCTGTCAAAAATAAATAAAATAAAGAAAACACTGAAAAAACGGTAAAAGTGCAAATCTAAAATGTCAAATCTACCCTAAACGCAAATCCAAATGTATGCGTATATTTTTCCTGCCCTCAAAAAAATGAAAATCCGGCATTACATACAATACCATCATAGATCTTAAAAATGAATGCATCGTATGTACACACATACCTAAGTGAATCCATATGTATGTGCTTTGTATTAAGTATGACTGGCATTCAGCTCTGACCATTTTAGTTTTATTAAATGCAACTCTATGGTTGATGTTGTATTTTTTGTTATTGTTGTTGCGATTGAAATCACTTTGGCATGAAATCAATCATCAGACATTGGACATAATGTATGAAGAGCAAACATACAGACATACGTGCGCTGCACATAAAATATGTGTATATATTTGTATACTGCATCACAATATGCATAGCTGTATAGGAGTATATATGTATGTGCACATGTATGTATATTATTATCTGCTTTTAAGATCAGTTTTCCCCATTTTTGGTTATGAGCAGAGAGACGACTTGGCTTCGAAAACGTATGATTCTTTTCCTTTTACTATTGTTGTTGTTGTTTTCTTTGTTTACAACGCGACAAGGAGGGGCGCTTTATTCAATATTTTTTCTATATACATATGTTTTTATATAAAATTGTGCTGCTCTCTCTCTCAGTTGATATATAATAATCATAAATAACTGACTTGCATTTGCTTAGTTGCCTCTGCAGTTCTTCTGCGCTTTACTATACTTTAATGTTGTTATTTTTTGCTGCACATACATACATATTTTTATTGTAATTTTTTATTCCATTGCATTGGCTTTTGGGATGAGCATGAGCTGGATGAATGAGCCTTTAGGGCGTAATTTCGAACTCCAAGTGCAGCGGGTGTCCGATATACATTCAAATGCGTTTATATGTATATTTGTATATGTGTATGAGTTATAATAATAATGCTCATATGTGGTGGTTTCCTGGCTGCATTGCAGTCCAATTCCATGTATTAGTTTTTGGAAAAAAGTGCTTATATAAGATTTAGAATGGTTCAAATACGACTTATGTATGTGCATATGTATGTATGCAAGTTAATTTGACATTGAAAATAAACAAGGGAGCGCTACATTTCATATATAATTTTTATTTTTATTATAATTATTATTTTTAGGCCTTTTCCTCTTCTTTGTGTAGGCAAAGAAAGGCCATGCTTCCTAAACTATTTTTGACAGCTTTTTCAAAGTTCTTTCAAAGCTTGTGGCTCGCTTTATTTACGTATGTACATATATATATAGCATAAGCCACCACTTGATTATTTATTCCTATTTGAAATTCATTTTCTATAATTATGCCGCATTTATAAAAGTACCAGCTACTTATATTTCTCTGCCGCAATGCTGTAAACAAAATTTTTTTGAGATTTTTTCCTATAGTCTGTGTGTGGTACATATATATTTACTCGAAAAGGTCAAAAAGTCTAGCTTGGTTCAACATTTATGCGATTGAATTAAATAATTATGTATATTGACTGCTACACCAACGCAAATGCATAAAGAAATAATAATACATATACCTACATACATATATGTGTATGTGCACATGTGTATATTTAAACAAGGTAAGGTAAATTCACGCAATTTGTGTAATAAATATATTATTTTCATACAAATAAAATCGACTTTTGCGTTTGTTGAATTTTTTTATTTTCATTTTTGCTTTGAAAATTTCTCAATTTGCTTTGCTTCTACAACATTTAAATATATTTATTTGTTTATGCTTTGACTGCCCTTTGACCTTATGATGCTAGGTACTCATATAAATATTTATTATTTGCTTGTTTTTTTATTCTTTTCATTTTTTTTCTGTTTACTTTGTATTTCGTTCATCGATATCATCTATTGAATCGCACAACAACATCTGTTCATTTTTCTGTGGTATTGAAGTGCTTTGCTCTGTAATTGACTGTTTTTGTGTTGCAGACAGCTCCTGCATTGAGCTATTTGACAGCTCAAAGGTTTCTGTATGGCTTTGAGTATTTTCTGGTAGATGAATTTTGAAAAATAAATTTTTAAAGCTTTTTTTTTGCTTGGGCTGAAAAGGCGATTTCAGTGCGTATCTAGTGAGAAAATCTCAGGTTGGAGTGCTTGAAAATTTAAAAATACTGATCCTTTTAAAATTTTCTAATCAAAAATATAACCTTATCATTGATAAAGAGCTTTAAAAATAATCTATATCTTTAAAAAAAAAACAATTTCTCATAATTTTTTGTCTTTGTTTATTTGCAGGTAAGAATCTTCACACTTTTTATGGGTATAATTCACAATGATATTTCTAAATTGGTATGAAATAATTGGTTTTTTTAATTACTTTTGTGGAAATATTTCATTTGCAAAAAAATTTTTTTAAATTTTTGTTTCTAGAAAAATGCGTATCAACGACCTTGCGGCTAAGATCGTACTACAATGTGCCACTCGCGCATAGGTACAATAACTTCATCAATAATTCGAATTTCGCTCTAAATTTTTTACAGTGTATCCTTATTAGTATATATAGTACTTTCGAAAAAAATTTCGATCCGCCCACACCAAGTAACAGGACTACTACCTTAAGTGAAAAAAATTCAACAAACGATATTTCCTTAAGTGTGAAAAAATAAATATTTAATTTTATTTGATTTAAGTTATTTATGTCATTTACATTTTTTCATACTATTTGTTTCAATTTTTTTTATTGTATTCCAATTAAATTTTTTTTTTATTTTTACACTTATTTTGGTCTATTTAAGTTAAATTTGCTTTAAATTTTTGTCTATGTTATTCTTCTTTTTTTTTGAGTTTATTTAGCTAATTCATTTTATATATTTTTTTTCAATTTTCGTCTTTAGTCAATTTTACTTTATTTTATTTTACTGAGTTTTGATTAAATATTTTAAATGAGCTTAAATTATTTTATTTTCTGTAATCTTAGTTGTTCTAGTATTATTTTAATTTTCTATTTTTTTTTGTTTTATTTTATTTCAGTTTATTTTTATATTGTTTTATTTTATTTTAATTTACTTTACTTTTTTTGACTTTATATATTGTGCCTTATTTATTTTATTTTATTTAGTTTATTTCTCAAGGTTTTTTTTAATTAAGAAGTAACTGAAATTAATTTTAATTCATATATGGTTTTTTTGCTGGTTTAGTTTTTTTTATTTTACTTTTCCTTTTTTTGTTTTTCTTAAGTTTTTTAGCTCTGTTTTTTTATTTTATTTCCTTTCTTTAATTTGTTATAATTTATATATATATATATATATATATATATATATATATATATATATATATATATATATATATTATTTTATATTTGCTATATATAAAAAATTTATACTAAATAATATATATTGATTTATATTATTTCATATTTTTTCTTTTTGAATTTAATTTATTTATTTTAATTGAAATTATTTATTTTTTGTTAAGTTTATTAAATGTTGTTCTTTATATTAAATTTTTTTTGTCTAATGTTAATTAATTTTGCTTTATTTATTTTAGTTTAGTTTTTAATTTATTTTTCGTTATCCTTATTTCATTTTCCATATTTTATTTTATTTTAAATTTTTATATTTTGCTTTATATTTTTGATGGACATACATTATTTGGGGCCGTTTTTTTTTTTTAACTTTAATATTTCATCTGTTTTAATTTTATTTTATTATTTTATATTTTATCTCATTTTAAATCTTGTATTGTTGTTTATAAGCATTATTTTAATGCATTTTTTACACTACCAATTTTTTCGGTCATCCTTGGTAGCAATGTCTCTCTATACGTACCCCTTGGTATAAATAAATTGTATTTCAAACACGTAAGCGCCACTTTCGAACACATGTTATTCAAATAAAATTTCCCAAAACTGCCAAAACAAAATATAAAAATCGCTTAATAAACAAAAGGATTATGAATTTATGGCAGATATCAAAAATCATAAAATAACCACTATATAAATAGAAGATAAACCCAAGCAAACACGTACATTGAGCTCACTAAACACACATATTTACATACATATGAAAACAACATGCAGAAGCTACAAACATTCAACCAAATATTGAACATAAAAGGAAAAGAGTCGAAAATCGCCGCTGGGGAGCGTGTGTTTTGTGGTAATTTCATTGTTTTATTACTCTGTTTTGACGCACACAAATCTACGCAGAAGAGCTGAGGGAAAACACAGGCAAACAAATAATATTAACGAAATCAAAAAATCAAATAAATTATGCAAATATCCACAAAGAGCCACCAAAAACATTTTGTGGTAATGTAATCAAATGCCAGCAATTATGTGCATGAATATATGCAGAGATAGGGAATGAGAGAGAGAAAGAGAGAGAGGGGGGAAAGAAAAAGTGCACCACGCCTCAGGATTAAGCAAGTCGAGTTAGGAATTTTGTGCTTAAACCACAAATTGGTAATCCTTATGCGGCGTGGCAACAAATATAACTGCCAACTAAACGGAATTGAGAGGATATTGAATGCGGAAGCGAATAAAAGTTGAAAACAAAAATGTCTAAAGAAAAAGTAACCAACATGGCAGCTTGCCACAATTGTCTCTCTGCAGCGGCAGTCGAAGAAATTCCTAGGAGCGCATAGCTCGTTAGCACCAAAAACACAGACCAGAGCAGCTGTGAAGCAGCTACAATGAAAACAATAAGAAAGGACATGTCGCCTGCGGGCCAGTTGTACACCCTATTTCAATATGTTTTCATTTGCTTTTGTTTTTGTAATTTTTTTTTTTTGTTATGCGACTTTTACTTCATATCAACTTTGATACACAGCGGTAGAAGGGGGAGCCAGCAACTTGTTTTATTTGCGCATATTTTTCTACAATTTCACATTGCTTACATTTGTTATTAACTTGAGTGAATCGCTGTGTAAGGATGTGGAGGATTTACATGCTGCTTTCTGCGTTCATTTGATTGTCTTTGCAATATTGTCTACGCTCAAGAGAAACACATTGTCAATGTCGTGCCGCTGGCGTATTTATGCTTTGGCACGTACAGCAACCCAAGAAAGTCGCGATCCTTTTTATACTATATTATATATACGGCACTCGCATGTCCTTAGACGAGTTCCTTAACAGTCATTTTTGTTGCGCTAATGTCCGCTCTTTGGTGTTGAGAGACACAATTTGTTACCAATGCTCGGCTAATGAGGCAAAACGCCTGAAGGTAGGTGTTAAATTAAAGTCAGTCAGTCAGAAGGCGATGGAAGTAACATATACATATATTTTTTTCTTGTTTCCATAAGAAAACCGCTGTGTTGGTGGTGTTGTAATTGAAATGTTGACATGTGATATCCTCGAATTTTTATGAACCTTTTTATATGTAAACACATGTGCATCATTTCGCCTCAGAAGACATGATGTACATTCACATAGCATTCTCGAATTCTCTGCTCAAAGCGCCTTACAATCACCAGCAGTCTTACAATTGGATCATTCAGTCATGCTTCAATCTAACTCCTGCTACGGCTGGCTGTCCTGCTGCTGCTGATTGCTTCTAATTAAGTCAAAGTCAAATACGAATATTTCATTGCCGAATGGCGCGCCAAGCCGGCGGCTAAATTGTGTGGAAATAGCTGGCTCCATACGTATATGTATACATATTTATGTGCTTAAGCAACTCTGTTATGCTTTGAAATGTTGTAGCATACATTTAGGATGATTTTAATGATTCGATACGTTTACCACGCGAGAATCATAGATAAAAGCTTAAGGATATTCAATTGGCAAAACAGACAAATGATTATCAAATTACAGCAAGCTTAAGTGATATCTACGACCAGTAAAGGAGTAAGTTAAAAAAAATATATGTACAAGTATACAACAAGTGTAGCAGACATAAAAACTTTTTCTCCACACTATATACTCATCGGTATGTCACTAAAGCAGTTTGATTGCTTAATAAGCATTATTAGAAAATGTTTTCAATTCTAATACTTTGTCTAAAATAATTTGAGCTCTAACGCTAGGCTACCATATGTGATATGACAGATTACACAAATATTAAATAAAATTATTGAATTTTTTTTACACAAATATTCATTTTAATTTTTCGTCTTATCCAGATTTTGTCTTTGGAATTTATTTTTTTTTACAACGTTATCTGAAAAATACCAATATCATCTCAAATAAACTTTTATTCTTATTACGATCCTCGCGTCATCTGGAGGATTTAAATGTTGCGCTTGCTCCTGCCTTAAAGAATAAGTTGCCCAAATTTGGTTTCAATTCAACAGCGTATGTATAAGTAGGTATGATAACTTTCCAGGGATAGACAAAAAAATTAAATCAAGAAATTATCTATTCTTCAACAACTCGACTTTAGCCCCACCTAAGCGTATCTACACTATATAATACTTACAATATTGTGCTAACTTACAACCGCTAGAAAAACACAACTAAACTTGAAAAATAAACGACTTTAACGCCATCTAGTGGATGAATATTGCAATGTAAATGGGCCTATCTTACCACGACCGTATTTGAAGAGTGCTTAGAATTCAGAGCGAAAAAAAAAATCATTAAAAATGAAGAGAAGAAATTGTTGACAGGGAACGTTAACCTCACTGAGTGATTTTCTGAAATGAAATAAGAATGTCTTCATATAAATGCATCAGACGTCAGGAGGAAGCTTAGCAAAAGCTGTAGGTCTCTCCATATGGTGTGAATTGAAGGAGGAATTCAGTGAAATATAGCTACAATTATTATAAGGCAATTTATCGAATTATAGAGAGATATTTCAAAAAATTTTGCTCCTTGCGCCACCTACTGGGCGAAGGTTTGTGTCATGACATAAATAGGTGGACATTTTTAGGCTAGTTTTATTGAGTTATTTTAAAAATTAATTTGAAAAATTTAAAATTACAATATTTTCATTAAAATTTCTATACTCATTAATTAAACAAAATTTTAAAATCAGATAACCATTTTTTTGAATGAGTTTTATACATAAACATACATATACTTTTTTGATTGCTCCCATTTACAATTTTTTTTTTGTCATAATTAAAAAATAAAAGAAAAATATTTATATACAAAATATATGAACCTTTTATTTCCAACACCACGCACACACACACCACATCACGCATGTAATGAATCAAATGCCAATTAAAGCTTAAAATTTATGATTTTAAATGTCAGCTCTCGGAAAGATGGATGTATTTCTGGAGCAAAAGCTATAAGGGCAACTCAAAATTGATAATTGACATAAGAATCAAGGAGGTTATCAGCTCAGCTAGAGATTCCATTGCAGTGTTTAATTCGTGAAACTCAAATGCACTAAGCTTAAGGC